ACAATAAAAGCGATTATTTTTAATTTCCGTTCTTCTCCTCCGTAATGGAGCTATTAGACTTTGGCAGATCCCTTAATATGATTATCCTTTTTGAATGATTTCGAACTGAAATGTTTGTGCTGATGGTGGTAATCGCAGTGGAGTTTGAAGAACGAGGCTGTAGGCTCACGCTCCAGGAGCTCATGACCCCGAAGTGCCATCAACTGTGGTTTGATGGGCAGGTGAGGATGAAACCTTGGAGGGGAAGTGGGGCCCCGGTGGGCTCTTGGTTCTGCCTGTAAGGACGGGTCTGGCTAACCATGCCACCAGTGCAGTGGGTCCCAGATAGGGCCAGGTGGAGGCTTTCTGTTGGAGACCTGCTTCTCCCGAGCAGTGAGGACAGCTGTCCATCATCAGTCCAGAATTCAGAGCAGTCATCCACTGAGCTCACCGGCAACACTCGCTGGCCCAGCCGTGGGTGAGGATACGCCTTTTAATTATTTAGTCTCCACATCGACCAGGGATACATCAGTCACCTGCTTGAACCTTGTGCCGCTCCCAGCACAGTGGGGCAGCCTCGGAGCCCTGCTGTTTGCAAGACTGGGTTCTTGGCTTAGCAGGGAAGCCGTCTCCTCGGGGCTGGTCTCCCAGGCTGCTTCCAGCCCCTCCTCTGCACCATCCCTGTCAAGCTTGGCCTCATTAGAGTGCCAAGATGGGTACCAGCGCCCAGGCACCCTCTTGACACTGTGGCAGGTGTTTGACCGTGGCCTTTAGGGAACCTTTCCACATGCCACCAACAGCAGTAATGATCACATGCTCATTCCACGTCTTCGTTGCGTGAGGACCAGCCTCCTGCCCTTCATCTTTGGGTTCTGACAGCCCGCCAGGATGCAGACAGCAGCCTGCTTGTCTGTGACCTCTTTGTGGGGCCTCGTGACAGCTGGGTGGCTGCTGTGGCCTAACTTCGATGAGGAGGCACTAGGGGACCTCACCGTCCTGTCGTGGGGAATCCCAGGGCTTCTGCTGTGGGACCTGCTGGAATACGCTGAATACAGCTGTGAGCAGCAGGTAGAGGACCCAGGGTGACTCATACTGTGAATCCATCTCTCCTCGCCACCGCAACCAAACGATATCATCCGGATAAAGCCAGTTACATGAAGCGATCAGGCTGCGTGATGGCGAAAGATGTTTCCTAAAGGGCGATCTGAGAGGTATCGGGAAGGAAGAAGCCGGCTGTGTCCTTGACAGTGAAAGTCCTGTGCCTTGAATCCTTCCCTCCTTCTCTCCCTCTCCTTCCCTCCTTCTTTGTTCATCCCTCCCTCCCCTAGCGACCGCACACTGTCCTGCTACCCTTGGCTTCTGGTTCAGGTCAGCTAGTTTGTCCCTGGGGCATCACGGGGCCCTTCCCCACCAGGGGCGGTCACCAGATCTGTTACACTCATTCATTCATTCAACAGTATCTAGCTCTGTGTCAGCAAGGCACTCACTCCTGGGAATACAACGAGAAATTAGGGGGATAACTTCTCTGCTCTTGGAGACCTGGCAGTTCAAGAGGGAGATGGCTCCACAGGCTGCTTCTGCTGGTACAAACACAGATTCCTAAGTCCTGTCTCTGTAAGTCTGGTTCCATGGTCTGGGCTGCGCCCAGGAATCTGCATTTTCTAAGGAGCCCTCCGGGTGATGCTGATGTAGGTGGATCCTGAACCAATCTCAGAGAAACATGCTTTTCAGCCATGGGGCTGTGCCCAGAGCCACCCCTTCGAGAGTGTTTGTTGACTGCTGTGCCCTGTGATTCTAACTGCCCTGCTTGCCCTCGAGGGGTTAGAAAGCACAGCGTCTTAGAGCAGGATCTTAATTACGCATGCGTGTTAGCATTGGGAATTTTCAGACCTTGAGTTTAGGGGTTGGAGAGACTGTTCTAACTTCTCAGAATTTCTTGATGTGCTCAGCAATGGCTCTCTAGAATAAACTGAGGTGACACCAGCACTGGCTCCCGTTTCCCCTTCTCTGCAGACTCCTGCCCTCCCAGGACCACATGTCCCGTCTCCAAGCACACATGTCACTGGCATTTCTCCATCACTCGAGTGACCCTGGCTTGTAACTCTCCCAGAGTGAATCTTCCCTGAAGTTTGCCTCTTCTGGCTGTGTGATAAAACATGCACCCTCCCCCGGATCATAAGGAGAGGGTGGGGGAGATGGCACGTGTCATAAGAACAGAAACCTGTCTAATACTCACGGGTTAAGTCAAGGAGGACAGATCAGGCTTCCCTGGTGGCACAGTGGTTGGGAATCTGCCTACCAATGCAGGGGACACGGGTTCGAGGCCTGGTCCAGGAGGGTCCCACACGCCCCGGAGCAACTGGGCCCATGTGCCACAACTACTGAGCCTGCGCTCTGGAGCCCGTGAGCCACAACTGCTGAGCCTGCTGTGCCACAACTACTGAAGCCCGCGTGCCTGGAGCCCATGCTCTGCAACAAGAGAAACCACCTCAATGAGAAGCCCGCGCACCCCAACGAAGGGTAGCCCCCGCTCGCCGCAACTAGAGAAAGCCCGCACACAGCAATGAAGACCCAACACAGCCAAAAATAAATAAGATTAAAATAAATAAATAAATAAAAGGACAGATCGCAAACACCCAGGGGGCTCGCACATGACCCAGGGGCAGAGAGCGGAGCCAGGCCTGTCAGCAGATGGGCAGCCGAAGACACCAGGCCACCCCCCATCCCGTGGTCTCACACCTCCACAGTGCATCTGCCTCCCTCTGCTCAGCCATCCTTGTACAGGGACCACCGGAGCTGCCCCCAGATGGCAGCCTGAGCCCTACAGATGGATGAGACCATCTAGTTCTAGCTCCCAGCACTGCCTCGATCCCAAGTTTCGGGAGAAACATAATCTGATTGACCCCGTTCGGGATCTGTGCTCACGCCTGGTTCCGTTCACTGAGATAAGAGTTGGGTTCACATCGTGCTTTTGCAAGCAAGGGGTCAGCTGCTTCTCTCAGAGGGACCAGAGGCTGCAGGAAATGACTGACGGTGAAGTGGCTGCCGTCCTGGCGTAACTGGTACAGCTGCCCCAGTAGAGGGCAGTGTCCTGTGTCCATAGTTGTGATTGGTGTGAGCTTCCTGGAGAAACGCGGAGGGCAGTGGAGCCTTATTTATTGAGCCCCTGCTCTCTGCACTGAGCTCATTGCATATCTTTTCACAGCGATACTCCACAGAGACTTAACTGGGATCCAGGAGGGCCCATTAACTTCACACAAGTACACTTTCCCATGGCAGCACCCATGTTCATCAAACTAGGTCCGTTCAACTCTGAACACTCACCTTTCCAGTGAGTCCCACTGCTGCCGTGCCACGTGGGCACCGAGAGGAGTCAAAAATCTGGACGTTAAGGTCAAAGTCAAGCTCGAGATCTGGAGGAGCGGACGAGGATCTAACATTGAGGTCTACAGTTCAGCTCAGGAGCCTCCCACCGGAGAGCTTCCCGGCGGCCCCAGTGGAGTTTCACGGGGCCTCCCGTATGAGACGTCTGTTTCGCCCAGGAAAGCATCTGAATGGCATTTCTGGCGTTTGGCAGTCTGGGGGTTTGCCGGCTCCTTCACGAAGCCATTTCTGAAGAGTGCAGTGAAGCAGAAAGGCTAAAAAGGGCTTTGCAGTTGGCTGGGTCCTGACCTCTACTCTGATTCATGCCAGGTCGCGAGCTCTCCGCGGGCTTCAGCTGGAGAGGTCCTACCTCCTTCACACGACCATGGATGTTTTTAAGTGAGAGAGTGTGTGAAATGTGCTTTGCCTTTATGCTTGAGATGTAGTAATGACTCGATAAATGGCTGCGATCATCATAGTAATAATAATAACTTAGTTGCTTGAACGCAGGAAGTATGTCGTGTGTTTCTTTACCCCCTACGGCACCAGTAAAATGCCTTAGAGGCGGCTTCTTCTCCTCCCCCTCCTTCAAGTGAGATACAATTGGCACATAACACTGTGTAAGTTTAAAGTACACAGCATGTTGACTTGATCTCTGTATTGCAATAAGATAACCACCGTAGCATTAGCTAACGCCCCTAACAGGTCACATAATTATCGTTTCTTTTTGTGATGAGAATATTTAAGATCTACTCTCTTGGCAACTTTGAAGTATATAAATACAGTATTTTAAAAAATATTTTATTTATTTAGGCTGCATGGGGTCATAGTTGTGGCACAGAGGATCTTTTAGTTGCGGCATGGAGGCTCTTAGTTGTGGCAGGTATGTGGGATCTAGTTCCCCAAACTCAGGCCCCCTGCATTGGGAGTGCGGAGGCTTACCCACTGGACCACCAGGGAAGTCCAGTATTCTTTTTACTTTTTAAAATTAATTTATTTATTAATTTATTTATTTTTGGCTGCGTTGGGTCTTCGTTGCTGCGCACAGGCTTTCTCTAGTCGAGACGAGCGGGGGCATCTCTTCATTGCAGTGCGCAGGTCTCTCACTGCGGTGGCCTCTCCCGTTGCACGGGCTCCAGGCGCACGGGCTTCAGTAGCTGTGGCTCGCGGGCTCCAGAACGCAGCCCCAGCAGTTGTGGCGCACAGGCCCAGCCGCTCCGTGGCATGTGCGATCCTCCGGGACCAGGGGTCAAACCTGTGTCCCCTGCGTGGGCAGGCGGACTCCCAACCACTGCGCCACCAGGGAAACCCCAAGTCCAGTATTCTTAAGGATAATCACAGTGCTGTGCATTAGATCCCCAGAACTTGTTTATCTTCTAACTGCAACTTTAGACCCTTTGACCAACATCTCCCCAATTCCTCCATGCCCCAGCCTCTGGTAACCACCAATCTACTCTCTGTTTCTATGATTTGACTGTTTTAGATTCCACATATAAGAGAGTTCTACAGTATTTGTCTTTCTCTGACTTGTTCCACTCAGCATAACGCCCTCAAGGTCCATCTGTGTTGTTGCAAATGTCAGGATTCCCTTTTCTCGTGGCTGAGTAATATTCGCGTGTATGTTTCACATGACTGTTGCCTCTTTCTCCCTCCCGCAGAACGCCAGCCATGATTGGCTGCTCGTTTGTGGTCAACAGGAAGTTCTTTGGTGAAATTGGTCTTCTGGACCCTGGGATGGATGTGTATGGAGGAGAAAATATCGAACTTGGAATCAAGGTTTGTGACATGGCATCCTTTCCTCTTAGTCTGTTTGTGTTTGTGAGTAGAACTGCCTGGTCATTTTTGCTGTGTATTTGAAGCTTCTTTAGCTGGTGAATGACAGAATCATTCACCCCACTTCTGTTCCTAAAGATGTTCCAGCAGGGTTGTCACCCCTCCTCAGACTGGGGGAGACCTGGCCTTCGCCCCTCGAAAGGTTGAACAATTTGTTCATGCCTGGGCGACCCAATCTGGACATTAGCTAGAGAATTTGGTTCCCACTCCCATCCAGTTTCACTCTCTCCTTAAATTTTTCTTAAAATTAAATCATCTCCTTAAATTAGAATTTACATGCTACATATTTTGACAATTCATGTACATCATAGAATCATAAGTTGCCAGAGGAGAGAAGGACCATGTTCTGTGGGACTCTCCCATTTCTCAGAAATGCTTCTAAGGAGGATAATGGGGGGGGGGAAGAAGACGCAGAATGGGCCTCTCGCTGGCCCCCCATTCAGATCCGCTCCACTGCTGGATGTTTCAGACACTGGGTATTGCTTAAGATTCTGGTTGAAAGATGAAGTTCACCGTAAACAAAAAAGTTGGACAAATTGATGCATTCCAACCTCTTCACTTTAGTGAATGAACCCGAATGAGGGGTGTGGATGGGGGACACCTGGTAACCGCTTAACTGGTACGTCCTCCTCCGTACCGCAAAGAGGGGGGTCCTGGGGGATGATGCCCAGCTGGGGTCTCTGTGTCCCCACTGCTCCCTGTCCTGAGCTTGTGCATTCCTGAGCCCCTGGGAAGTAGGCTTGTTGGGAACGACTCAGGACACAACTGTAAGGTTTAAGTTTATTGAATTTCTTCCTCCTTCCGCTGCTGGAATCTCCTTGTTCTAGCCAGGCAAGTACCCAGTACCTAGTGCAAGTACTCCAGTCAAAGCCTGCTCTCTGTGTCAGATTTCACTCGTTATCCCTAACTGCTCAGGACCTTTAAGACACTGCATTGCCCCCTCCTCTACACCTGAGCCCCCTTCGTGGAATGGAAGGCTTCATGTCCTCATGATGTAATGAACGTCCAGGCTGCGGAAGCAAAGAGGATGGTGGAGACCTTCCCTGGATCCTAAAATCACTCCCTTTTGGAGACTGCAGACTCTTGCTGTGTTTTCAGTTCCAGGCTGGGTTCTTTCCTAAGTGGAATTTGCATAAGATTTCTTTGAAAGCCGAGCAATTAAGAAGCCCATGAATATGTTATCGTAGCTAATATACTTGGCATTTACCCATTTGAAATTTAATTGAAGGAAAAGATTTGGGCCCAGCGTGTTGAACTTGGACTGTAACTTCAGTCTCTACCCTGCCCCCATCTCCTCATCCCTTCTCACGCTGCTCTTTTCCTCAGCTCTCATCCGCTTCTAGCACGCCAGGGAATTGACTTATTTATTATGCGTATTGTATTTCTCTACCTTTACTAGCTAGATTGCAAGCTTTATGGGGCACAGATCTTTGTGGGGCTCACCTTTGCATCCCAAGCATGTAGAACCATGCTTAACACATGGCTCAGTAGGTATCTGTTAGATTGATGACTGAATGCCTATTAGGACCCAACATGCGTAGAAGCAGCGACATCATGGAGACAAGCCCGATGGTGGTGATAACTTGTCCAGGTACTTATTTGTGAAAGGAAGGAGCTGAAGGCAGCCCTGCATTGAGATGGTTAAACTTCTTACATTTTTTATAAATTTTATGATAGTTTATAAAATTATATGTATATTTGTATATAATATGTGTACAATTATTAAAATTCATAATAATTTTGTAATTTTAATAATTTAATACTTTTATTAAGGGAGATTTGAATGTCTCTATATGCTGTGAGAAGGAACCCAGTGGAGGGTCAGACGTCACCAACAGAGGGGAGAACAGGATGAGGGAGCACTGTCCCTACGGAGGCAGGGGCACAGGTGGAGGGGTTATGGGGACAGGAGGGCCCCCAGATTTTATTGCAGGGGCAGGCTGCGCTCTGGGGAGAACAGAGGTGGTGACCGTGGAACCCACTGCTAAGAATTGCTAGGATGTTGGTCTCCCCATGCTTGCAAAGCAAAGGTCTGGGTGCCAGGCTCTGCCAGGCTCTGCCAGGCTCTGCCAGGCTCCGTGTTGATGACAGTGACAGTCCTTCGTGGCTACGCGATCCCTGCAGGAGGGGAGGGGCTTGTGAGTCTTGGCCCTGCAGCAGTACAGCCTAGTGGAGCACAGCCCCTGTGCCGTGAGCTGAGGGCCCGTGAGTTCCGCTCTGCATCTCCATGTGGCAGGCTGGAGCGATGGGGCCCAGAGCCTGCTCTCTGACTTGTCTTCTCTGGGGTAGCTCCGTGTCTGGCTGTTCTCCACGCGTCTTTATGTAAGCGTCCGATGGATGGGGCTCGGATCCCACCCTCGTGCAATCACTTGCCTCTTATCCCGGGCACGTCCGGCATCCACGCTGGACATTTGGGAATGTTTATGCCTCTTACTTCCCATAGACCGTGTCATCCCATGACCTACGAGCTGACTCTCCACAGAAGCTTTGGTTTTCTGCTGATTCTGAAAGCAGGAATTGACTGCTGTTGGTACCCTAAGGGCCAAGGCCTGGGTCCAGGGTCCACGTAGCCACCATCTACACAGTAGTCTGTGTTCTTAAGGTGTGGTCCCTGACCAGCGCATCCACGTCACCTGGCCCTTGTTACAAATGCAGGTTCTCGGGCCCCATCCTACACTTACTAACACTCTGGGGTGGTGTCCAGCAACCTGTGTTTTAATAAGCCTTCCAGATGATTCCGTTACACACCCAAGTTTCAGAGCCCCTGATCTACACCCGACCTTAGCCGGCTTCCTGGCAAACACGTATCTATTCTCAGAAACGAACCCGGGTGAGAGTCCACATGCTTCAAGGCCCACCTTGAAAAATACATTATTAAGAAAGCCATCCCTGCTGCTTGAAAAAACTCAGAGCTTATGTAATATATGTACACATATATACACATATATAATTATATAAAGTGTACACACATACATTATATAAATTAACCTATAATAACCTGTAAGAAATGACATAAAATTCTATGCTTTAGTTAAGTGGGGAAATTTTAATATGAGACCACATCTTTGTAATTTCTTTGACTAAGAAATAGGTCCATCTGTGATCTAACTATTCTCTAACATTTTTCATTACTTTTTAACTCCATCCTCAGTAATTAAAGAACAGGAAGAATAGAAATTCTCACTGTGGTTCAGGGAAATAAAAACAGTAGGGTTTACTCTAGGGCTATTGTTTGGATGAAAGGCAAGCTTGCCTGTGACCAAAACAGTCGATACAGTGGAGGGGAAAAAAAGCTTTCCAGGGCTGAGAAAATAAATGAGATCAGAAATTGAAAGGTTTCATCTTGTTCTGAGTGACATTAATCAGAAACCATTAACGAGGCATGTTATAGTAACATGTCTAAAGGGTAAGAGGAAAAAAAATTCTCCGAGGAGAAAAGACCAGATAGATTACTTTTAAGTGGTATAAAATCAGATGGCTTCAGGTTTCTCCAATATATCCGTCTGCTTTGGGAAGAAGGGGCACTTTCTTATTCTGAGCTCTCATATAAGAGCCTGACATACACCACTACGGAATCCTGTCTGGCAGCTAATCTGAAAGGAAGGCAATAGAAAGATGCTGTCAGATCCTCAAGCCACCAGAAAAGGTCTTAGCTCACCATGAATCTCAAGAACCGAATAAAAGGCAGAATTCCTATGTGTGTACCTTGTTGTTGAAAATATTGTCGAGACCAGCATTTGAAGGACTGCCTCCTTCAAAGGGCTTAGAAATTATGGGCTGTCTGGGGTGGCCTAAGTCCCAGGGCTCCAGATGAACATGGAATCTCCCTCTCCCACTCTTTGCCCCATCTCTTGTTCTTTTTTTTTTTTTCTTTTTTTCTTTTGCTCCCGATCTTGTGTCTTGTCTCTGACAAGCTGGTGGTATAATTCAGTGTGAGTCCAAAGGCCTCATAATCAGGGGGGCTGATGGCATATACAGTCCTGGTCTGACTCTGAAAGTTCAAGAATCAGGAGTACTGATGTCTGAAGATGGATAACAGCCCAAGGAGAAACATGAAACCGCTCCGACAAGTGCTGTTGACTGATGCTCTGATCCCCACCCCAGCCACTCCTCTGTCCATGGGCTTTGGGACTCATCACCCAGCACCCATTTTAACCATGAAGGCTCCTCCCTGCCCTCCGTCAGACCCTTGACATCAAAATCCCCAATGTCCAGAAGCCTCTTGTGCCCTTTGTCTTCCATTTGGAACTCTTGGGCTTAAGTCTGCTCTATCTATTGGATGTTGTGATTTGGATAATGGTCACTCCTGGAGGTGACCAAACCATCAGTTCTGTCTCGTTTTCCTAATCCTTAGACTGTATGAGTCTTTGGTTCTTCCTTCCCTATTGGCGTTGGTCATCTCTGGCTATGGGAAGGTCTTCATAGTGCAGGGTTAGAGTATACCTGTGATAAAATTCAGAGCGAAAGTCCCTGGTCTCGTGTAGATAGAATAGGCTTTGGGATTTCACCGACTGGTCTTTAATCTGGATGCATCTATTTCAGGTGGCCAACAGTTCAGATGAATGCTTCTGGATATAACGGGGAGCCTTCCCTGCTCTAGCAGACGCTTTTGCTAGGGAGACCACAGTAGACAGACATGGTCCCTATCTCCATGAAGTTTATAGTCAGGCAGAAAAACCATTCATTTAATAAGTAATTACCAATGGGATGAGTGTGAAAAGATAGGACAAGGGGAGAATAGAGGAGAAGATAACAGGGGAATATATGCTACTCTAGGGAGTTGGGAAGTGCCTCCCTAAGGAAACGATGTTGAAGACTTGAAAAATATGTTGAATTTAGATAGGCCAAGAAGGTGTGGAAGTGGAGTGTAAGAGTAAAAGAATATTCCAGACAGTTTTGGCTGTATGAGATGATTAAGTTGTAGAGATCTGTTAGACAGCATA